CAGTAGCAGCATTAATATCAGAAAAAGAAAGTGATTTTCCATCTCTCAATCCTAGTCCAATGCAACCACATTGTATAGATCCATAGATTACAGTTCCCAGGCTCATGTTCTCTTTCTCACCATTCCGTCTTTGTTTGCACTAATGCATCCTTTTTTTTTATATAATTTGCCTTCTCACTCCTTCCTGGCTTCCCCATGACAGCACCTCTCTAGACCCCTTTGCTCTCCTAAGTGTGGTCCCATTCCCTACTGCCTCTCTTCTTAGTAGACTGACTGTATATTTCTTTTTCCTTTCTTTTTCCTTTTTTTTTTCCCTTTTGCACAAAGACACTTTCTCTGCTTTTAAGGTAATTAAATTAGCAGAGCTGATTGAAATCTAGATGAACTAATTCTCTGAACGCTACGCTTTTCAGTGGGTGCATTATTCAGTGCACATTAGGCAACCTTTTATAGCCCTCACTGAACAATAGAAATGATTATTTGATGAATATATTCATCAACAATGGCATTATTCAACCACTTCGCTCAATAAATTACATTCAACACTCAGGAATTAATGGTACCTATAGGTAGCTCAGTTTTGCTCGGCAGAGCATTTGTGCAGACTGAAGTGAGATGCCAAAGTCATTTGTGTGCACGAGGGAAATAAAGTGTGTGTGGAGGGTCTTTTGGTCACTTGTGTGTTTAATGAATAGTTTGGGGGGCTTGGGGCAGTTTCAAGTTACATGTAGGAAATAAATAGTGTCTGTGAGGAAGAGGAGGGATTACTTGCCCGTGGCTGGCAGTGGAAGCAGCCCAGGCACTTGTTTGGATGCTCATGTTGTGAGGAGCAGCCGAGGGAGCAGAGTTATTTAGGCTGGAGAAGAGGAGAGTCGGGGGGGACCTTACGCTCTCTGTAGCTGCCTGAAAGGAGGTTGCAGAGAGGCAGGGGTCTGTCTCTTCGCCAAAATAACCACCAACAGGACAAGAGGAAATGGCCTCAAGGTGCACCATAGAGGTTCAGTTTGGATATTAGGGAAAAAAATCTATATGGAAAGAGTGGAGAAGCTTTGGATCAGGCTGCTCAGGGAGGTGGTGGAGTCACCGTCCCTGGCAGTGCTCAAGGAACGTGTAGATGAGGAACCTGGGGACGTGGTTGAGCAGGCAGGGCGGGTTTATGTTGGACTTGCTGATCTTGAAGGGCTTTTCCAACCATAACGATTCTGTGAATCTGTGAAATAGCAATTCAAGGTATCTCCAGTTTTTAACTTCTGTCTGACGGGGGGTGAATGTGTGTGGAGTGGGGAGTGATTTAACTCTAACCTCTAATTCTGCTCTTGAGCTTTTGTTCCCATCAGCATTTTCTTGAGCTCTTGGAGTAAATGATCCTTCTTCTACTTCTTAAGGCCTTCCTGTGCCTTTGCGATTTCCAGGAGAGCCTAAATCTTTTTGGAGGCTATTTCCATAGTGCCAAATGCAGCCCCTTTTGACGTTTTTGTTGGTGTCTTTCTTCAACTTTAGAATTGCCTCAATACTGGGTACAACCTTGATGCAAAGTGATGGCATCTGCATTCTCTTTAGCCAGCTTCCCTTCCGGACCCTCTTCGGTTCGTGCTGCACAAAATAGCCCTCCTGCAAATGCAAATCTACCTTTGGCTGCAAGGACTTGGCCTTCCTTTAGTTAGAGTATAATTTTGCTCGGGTGCCATGCCCTGATGCTGCTCTTTACATCTGCCTCAAAGTGCATTGCTATTCCTGGAGCAGTATCCCCAAACCCTGCATGACCATGCTTTTCCTACTGGAATTTTGTGCTCACTTGAAGATTTCATTTCTCATTTTTCTTTGTCTTTCTGAATCGTTACGTTGTGCTGAATTTCCTACTGCCTGCATAAAGTCTTGGACTTCTCTAGCCTCGTCTGCTGTAACCTCTCCTTTCGTCAGCGTTTGCCTGTGCTCTCCCATGAAGTAAATTCTCTCTTCTTCATCTGTTAAATAACTCATTGTCTTTGAAGTCCACTTTGTTTTTTAAACGAGTGATCCTTCCCATACGGTCTTAGCAGCGCTTCACTGGGCTAATTCAGTGAAACCAGCAGCATCAATCACACTCCGTGGTCTTCTATAGCAACGACAGTGCATAAAGCAAACACGGCCTTTAAAGGTGCATTGGCAGCTCCCTTGAGCGCAGTCGCTGTGCTGGTTACAGCCCGAGGAATGCCACAAAACCAGCTCCGTGGCCCTTCGGGCTCGCAGATTTGTCGCTTCTCAGCCGCAAGTGGAGGCAGCAGGTGGAAAACCGTCGGTGAAGTTCTGCAGTTGTGTGAGGGGAGCTCCTCTTGCTGCAGGACATGCAGTCCCTCAGGACCTTCCCATCTCTCACCCAACAGACCTCTTAAAACAGGAGCCATTTACAGTTTTGTGAAGTCCCCACTGCCTCAGGGCTAGATTTCTTGTTGCATTCCTTTTTGACAAAAATTGCTTCATTTGGGTTGCATTTTGCAGAAGCTTCCTAGGGGTTTCATCCATCCAATCTTCTTTTGTCATCTCTCTGGCTGGAATTCACCCAGTGCTCCAAACCTGCTTGAGAATTTGTCCCTGCTTTGATCAAAGAGGTTTTTTTTTTCCAGTCCTTTCTTTTCCTCTTCACATCCTTCTCCTAAGCAAGGAATGGGCAAGAGCAGCTAGAAGGGAGGAAGTTTTTCTCTCTTGATCCATCTTTCTGATGAGGTAGTTCCTCCCAAGGAAGCATCAGCTCGGCTTTGGGAAAGGAGGCCTAAAAGTGAGTTTCTCCATCTGTGTTAGGTGTCTCCATCGCCTGGTTTCCACTAGTTTTGATTCCCACTGATACTTGAGCCTTGCTGGAGACCCAGGGTATCTTTAACTTCCGACCAAGGTGGTTCAGCTGGATGCTCAGAACTGGTGACATTCCAGCCACTTTCTGGGTGCCCGCAAACATGGTTTGATAAGTAACTCGGGGCTTTTTACATTAGAAAGGGATGGTGGCTGTTGTTATGGACATTAGCAAAAGCCCAAGCACGGCTATACAGATTTTCAATGGAATAATGAAGTCCAGCCTTCCCTTCCAGTGCCTGCACACATCATAAATCCTAAAAAAGGCCTTTGAGGTCTTTTTTCAGTAAGATAACCCTTCTGGACAACAACTCATCCACAGTCTCCATTCATATACATAAATATTCATGCCTCTTCCTGTCTGAATGTTCAATACTAGAATAAGAATTACATAATGAAAAAAAAAAGAAAAAAAAAAGGAAAAGGCGTAATTGTGAGGTGCTTCATCTCCTTCATCTTCTTGCCTGATCTTTACCACACATCTTCATGCCTCGCTGTTCAGGTCCCTTTGGGGCTTGTGACGTGTTGACTTATCATCTCCACAGCCACAGCACTTAGGCCTGCGAGAGCTTGGTTCAAACATCTGCTTGAGCTTTAACTATGGAGGACAGAACAAACCATTTGATGACAAGGTCACCAGTCTGGCAAATATACTGAAAAGCACATAACTGATACGATATAACCAAAGTGACACCCCCTTCTTATTCTCTTTTATATGGCATAAAGGAGCAGTTGGGCAGCGATTACTCTCAAGAATATGTTTTTCAACATTGCTGCCAGTATAAATCAGCAGTATATCCATTCCTGTGCCTGTTTTCAGCTCCTCACATGAAGGCAACTGCTCTAATTGTAGCAGAGACACCCAGATAAACAACGTCACCTTTCGTCAGAGGTCTGCCCATAGACACAGAGGTCACAGGGCTACCCCATGGGGGAAGGGGCCTCTCGTTTGCCCTTCCTGGTTTCCTTAAATCCTCCTCTGGCTTTGATGAGAGCCTTGCTGTCAAGCGCTCCTTAAGCCGCCCTTCTCGCAAGGAGGGTTCCAGAGCTAGGGCAGGGGAAGATGTGTGTGGAAAAGAAACGACAAAATAAACCATTCTAGGAATAATGGTTTTTTTTTTCTTTTTTTTTCTTTTTTTTTTTTCTTTTACGTATACATGCTTACCTAAAATGTGAATGTGAACTGAGGGGCTATTTTTCCTTCCATATGAGCAAAGGAAGACAACAGTCCTCTCTTCCCTCTCTGTCCCACTGGATGGATGGTGTACTGTAACTGTTTTAATTTCCAAAGTTCCTCTGTCCAGCTGTATTTCTAACCTCGAGGGAGAGGGGCAGGAGGCAGAAGGACCCTGCGGCTGTCCCTGCTTCTGTTGGTGAGGCACCCACTAAAGCTGCAAATGGAAATCACAGGGGTGGGATGAAGTGGCGCGAAGACAACATCTTCCAGCTACATGAACGGGAGAGAGACTTGCTGAGAACACCTTTCTACCTTCATTAGTTTGGTCTACATACATTTCCCTTGTACTCTATGACACAAAAGCTTCTGTCAGCTGGAATGAGACCTAATCCTTGTTTTTATATATATCCATCCTCGTTACCAGAGGCTCTGCTGGCCCATCATTTCCTGATGCGGAGCCATTGCGAAGCGCAGCGCCCTGAGGACACGTGGACGTAGGTGAACTACCAGCGCTCGTTTCTGCCACGTTAACCAGTGCCACCCTAACAGGCGAGTCGTTTAACAGGGTTGCTACCATCTCTCATGCGGTGTAACTTGAAATCTGGGAGCCCCCCGATCCAGGTCCCTCAGGACCATCCGGATCTGCGGCCTTGTAGGGCTCTTTGCTTCGTGCTGGTAAAAGGAGCTTTTTGTTTCCAGCAATGGGGAGGACAGTGTCACAGAATAAGGAGGCTTCAGCCATTGACAAAACCTACCAAAATCTATTTTAACAGCAAATAAATTTTGTATAATAGCCTCAGAAGGTACAAATTTTCAGAACTAAGGAACTAAAGACTTTTCTTTTTTTTAACATCCTTAACCTCTTTAAATTGCTTCAGCTACTGGCTATATTTCACCTTGGATGTACTTCTCATTTTTCTTCCCCCAAGAGGAAGCATCTCTCTGATCTTGTGTTTCTTTGATACAGCGCTTCCATCCTTCCTTGAGGAGAAAAAAAATGAGCTGGGGATTTCTGCGGGATCTGCTGAGTGGAGTGAATAAATATTCAACAGGGATCGGGAGAATCTGGATAGCAATTGTGTTCATATTCCGCCTACTCGTTTACGTGGTGGCAGCCGAAAACGTCTGGAAATACGAACACGACGAATTTGAATGCAACACCAAGCAGCCCGGCTGTGAAAACGTCTGCTTTGACCATTTCTTCCCAGTCTCCCAGATCAGGCTCTGGGCTCTGCAGTTGATCCTGGTCTCCACTCCTTCGCTCTTGGTTGCTTTCCATGTTGCCTATCGAGAGAACAGGGAGAAGCGGCACAACCAGAAACTCTACAGGAGTCCGGGGGAAATAGATGGTGGATTGCTGTGCACCTACCTCGTCAGCCTGGTTTTAAAGACAGGATTTGAAATAGTTTTTCTTTTTCTCTTCTACAAACTGTACAACGGATTCAAAGTCCCACGACTTGTGAAATGTGACATGAGACCATGTCCTAATGCAGTGGACTGCTATATTTCCAAACCCACGGAGAAGATGATTTTCCTCTATTTTCTGGTGGCAACGTCAGGTGTGTGCATTTTATTAAATGTAAGCGAATTGAGTTACCTTGTTTGCAAATACTCCATAAAATGTTATCTGAAGACGTTCAGCAAGAAACAACAAAGCGCAAGAAGCGATTGCCACAAATTAAGAACTGTTGGTCATGGCAGAACAGCAGCTGCTGTTCACAAATCCCCTTCCTTGCTTCTTAATACACAAGATAAACTTGAAATAAAGCTGCCCGCTGACTTGAGAGAAGGCTAAAGAACACCTCTGCACTCTGCAAGCTGCTCTCGAGCAATTTCTGTATTCTGATCAATGCTTCACTGAACTGAAAGGGCAGGGAAAATATTTAGATTGCTATCTAGCAAATACCCTTTCTCTATTAGCTTTTTTTTTCTCCTTTACTTGCTCAGATAAATTCGCTTTCATTATGTGCGTCATACATAGAATTATCTAGATCTGTTCATGTTGAAACGAGGTGCAGAAGCCTGACATTTTCATGAATTTGTAATTTAAATGTCGATGATTATGATAAATTGTGCTGAAACAATTGCTCCAGCAGTTGTATTTTGAGCACTCTGCACAACTGCTTTGGCACAGGCAAAAAGAGCTTTTTCATGTTGAGTTGAAAGAAGCTGGGATTGATTATCCTGAAGGGGACCCTGCATGGAAAGGGGATTTGCAGCATTTCCCAGCTGGGTGGATCTGATAAGAGCAGCGTCCAGAACGGGTTAGTGAGCAACGGCTACAGCTCTCAGAGAGAGGCTGAGAATCACCAGCCCATTCCACTGGCATACTGCGAAACACCTCAAAAATACAAAACAAGCAAACAACAACCAAATTACTAGGTGGTTTTAACTGTATCTAAGCCCCCGGTGATAAACACAGCGCCAGCTGTTTGGTTCTGTGCCTCGTTCTGTGGGTGTTTGAGCCCTCCACGATTTCTAGGGTATTTGTCATCACAACATGCCCTGCAAGGGGGTGTTCAGCAAGGAAAAGTGCTTGGCCAACCTTGCACAGGAAGGGTTAACCCCTTCAGTAAGGCTGAAATAGATCTGTGTTATGTACGTAACTTGGGCCAAAAGGAAAGCCATAGACATTAGCAACATATAATCTGTTGAACCTAGGATTGTTCTGAGATAACAGATACTAGTTCCTCAAAAAAAGAGCTATTTTGGGATATTTCTCTTTCTGTCATTGTGAAGAAAGACCTGCAGACATCGGTGCTCAGTCTGATGAGCACCCGCTCTTTCAGAGAGCAGCGCTGCCTGGAATGAGCGCTTCTGCCTGGATACTGAGCCCATTTCACTGTATGTGTCATGGTAAGGAAGAAAAACATTCAAAAACCTGTTAACTACTGGGTTTCATTCGCAAACCCAGCTTTAGTTACAAAGCCTTTCTTTTAGGAGTACTGTGGTAGCAATCACGGAATTAATTCTAAGATCTAATGATAAAACTCTGTGCTTTGTGATTTTCGAGCTCATACCAGCTGTCCTTTTTGCTAAACGACATCTGCTTTTCGGAAAGGTGAGAAGAGGTGTTTTTGCCGCTGAACCCGACAGCGGCAGCTGCCCGTCTCAGCGACTAGCTTGCCAGCTTGTGGCCACTTCAAGTTTTACATCTTTAATGACGCTGAAGCGGCGCGCGTAGAGGCGAACGTGTCTGCAAAATCCTGAGCCTCTGCCCTCGACTCTCTCCATCGGCAGAGGAGGGCACACGAAAGACGAGCTGTCAGAAACCTTCTCGGCTTCTGTGCAGACCCTGCGGAGCCCTGTGCGAGGCCAGACGCCTGCCAGCAGGGCAGCCCAACTGTTCCTTCGCAATTTGAGTAACTGAGAACGAAAACCAAACTTATTTCGGCCTTCTGGAGCCTGTCACGCAACTCTAGAGACTATGGCAACATTTCCAAAATAGACTTAGAAAGTTTTCTAATTGTTACTATTTGTAATTATTAACTATTTTGTAAATAGGAAGGACAGATTTTAAGACAGTAGATTAATGAAAAGGTATTTATTCTTTTAAAGCAGGGTTTGAGAGAAAGAGAGAGAAGCAAGCAGAGCTTAACACCAACACAGGCTGCTGATTAAATCTGTGCACTAGCTGCTCTCTGATGGAAAAAAATAGGTTAATCCAGGGCTCGGGGGTTTTCGGGCACCACTGAAAGTTGGGCAGCCGCTTGGCGTGGCCCAGAGGGACCGAAGCGTTTCCTGTGAGACAAGACCTCTGGTTTCCAGAATACACGTTCCTCACTACCGTGTGTCTTCAACGGTCATGAAATGATAAAGACAATTCCCAACTGTTCTGAGTTACGGGGCTAGTTCCAGTTTGGACCAAGTCTTACGTGGGAAATGGTCTGCACAAGGATTATGGACCGACTGTAGCCTCGGGTGGCTCCTGACTCACGGTCAGGCGCCTTCTGCCGCACTCGCTGCAGAACGAGGTGAGCGGTCAGCAGAATGGCTAATAACAAGGAAACAAGCCACAAGCTGGCTCTGTCAGAGATTACTTGACCTGAAAGGACAGAAATGAACCTTTCTGCCGTCTCAGCCTCTGTGCTGAGGCAGTTTCTGCCTTTTTTACCATTTCTACCCCCGACCTTCTTGGAATGGGGCTGCTCTGTGGCGCGAGGGGCCCAGCCAGGCCCCAAGCCAGACCAGAGCTTTACTGCCTCTTAAAGCACCATTCCCTTGCACTATAAAGGCTCTAGACAACATATCCCGTAGGAAGTCCGTGTGAGCGGCATCGCTCCGCCCCGGGAGAAGGGGGATCCCCACGGGGCGAGGGGAAACCCTTGGCTCAACATGGCCGCCGGGCCCGCGCCGCGCAGGAACACACCACGCCAGGGAGAAGCGGCTAAAGGAAAATACCAAACCAGTTTATTACATCAGGAATATTTCTGCCGGTTGCTCCGCCAGACTACATTACCCTCCGCAGCGCGTGACATCTTAAATCAAACCCACTCCACGTCCCTTCTGCCCCCCGTTCCGAGCTTAAAATGGTTCTCCTTTTAGAGGAAAAGGGAAGTCCCCCGTGGATCGCCTGTCGGACAGGCTGTCAGTATCCATCTAGCAGGGATTGTGCAATGAAGGACATGTCTACACCGGCATGGCACCCATGCGATGCTCACAAATTAAAATTGCTTTAATTGGGATAGAAGAGTAATGACGGAATGCTGCTTTTTTCAGAAGTACAGATCCCAAACAGAAATGATTTCCTGAATGTTTATTAAAATTGATTCCCCCACTCCCCCCTTTTTTAAAATAGCATCCTAGTATAGCACTGTGTACCTAAATAGTTGTATGCTATTCTCACGTAGTCTAAAAAGTGCAAATGTTGCAATATATATACTTGGGAATGTTAATGTCGAGACTATTAATTTACAGAACAAAAAAGGTATTAGCATATATTAAAAAAAAAAAGCAATTTTGAGGTCTGTTGACAATGACTGTAACCGTTCGGTGCACCTGAAAAGAGCAGATTTCAGGTGGAGTTTCTGGATCCTTTTCCAGATGAGGTTGTCTGCTCCCTGCCCTCCCTACAACCGTGGCTGTTTCCGTACGGAAGGAATTGGCGCCAGGAAGACCACGCGGTCTCTGTCAGGTTGAACGCGGCATCGCGGAATCACAGAGATCCCTTCTAGTCGGAAAGCGCTGGCATTTGTTCTGCACTCAGCACCTCTGCTTCACAGGTTTAGGGGTTTAGTCAGTCAGAAGAGAACGAAACGTTACAGCAGCTACTGGACTCAGTTCAAAGAGAAGCAGGTCATTTTCACGTCATTTTGCGAAGAAGTTGGCAATTTAAGACCAGATAGGGAAAAAAAAAAGAAAGAAAAAAAAAGAGACTGTTCTCAAAGCTGAAATGCTGTTTTCCTTCTGGCTTTTCATACAAAAATCTTCGCTGTTGGAAAAGGTCACTTCATTTTGTTGTACGAATGTGCTCTCTGAATCAATATTCAAGTAAACTGTCAAAGGTTACAGGTGGATAGCTTAAAAGCAATCAAGGTAGCATTTAATGCAGAGGTTTACATGGCAAGACAAGTTAATAGAAAAAAAAAATCAAGCCGATCTCTCCCAAGATAAAGACTCTTTTATATAGGTAGGTCACATCCAGTAACGAGAAGACTCCAAGTAAAATTTTTGGTACCACACAATCCAGCTGGCTTGTGCCATTTGAGTTAAGCATAATCATATATTAAAATTTAAAAACAACACTGTAGATTCGCGGATACTGACAGCCCCCACTCACGTGTTTATTCTTTTGGTTGCTAATCAAACGGGGCGCCTGTCATTTCGGCTAGCAGCATACACAGAACTCACTCCCATCCCGGTTACTACCCGCGGCGACTGCTTCCGAGGCTCGTTCCAGGGAGGAAAATACAGAGGCGGCCAAAGCGTTGCCCGATACAGTCAGCACGAGGAAGAAGGGCGCAGAGAGCACCCAGGCCGGCCACAGAGCGCAACCCGTTCGTCCATCCTGCAGATCGGCCCCTCACTTCCCTTTCGGAAAGTGCCCTGGCCATTCGGCTTGAAGCGGTATGGCATAAGGACTCATGTATTTTATAGATAGATACCAAAGCGGTATTATCAAAATAAACCATCTGTTTTTTATAAACCCACTATTTACAAAAACGGTTTCTGAGTTTTTTGTTTTTTTTTTTAACAAAAATTAAACTATACACCAATCTAAGTTACAGAAACAAAAATAACCTTTGTAAGATCACATGTATAAAACAAGAAATGAAATGTGATTTTATTTAAGGCAATACTGGGCTACTTCACAAATCACCACCTCAAATATATACGCTGCTCCACACTACTAATTTTCTATCACATTCACAACGGATCTTTAATACCAAATATTGTTTTAAATCTCCAATGTAGCAAACTATTTTTATTCACATTTCCATTCTTATTGTGGAATCATAAATGCTTTGTATCCAATTGAAAGCAATGAAAAATGCAGCTATAAGAAAACTATTGTATTTATGAGTTAACTACATATGAATATCATCCAAAGATACTGGATGTTAAAATTTACAAAAATGAGAGTGTGTCAGTACATGTTTCATCTATGAAATGTGATCTTATCCAGCTCCTCTCCTGTAAATAAATGCTTTATGCAAAATAAACTGGATATGGCAGACTTATCTAGTTTCAGTTCAAAAGTTCTTAATTTAAAATGATTAAAGCACAGTTTTAAAAACTCGTTCACTTAGTTACAAATTAAAATTCCGAATATAAATGTGTCATTTAATAGTTTAGACTTACAGACTGCTGGTGGCAGCAAATGATTTACAATAATAAATATATACAAAAAGATGTATCTACAAATAAAGAGGACCGTTATACATGAGCAGTGACCTGGTGAGAGATACCAATCACAGACAATTCACAAAGATTTAGTTC